GGGGGTTGGCAGTGCACGACTCCTCCCCCCCTCCCAAATCCAAAGGGATCCATTTCTTAGCCATTGAACGAGTAAGACGCCTGGTCGTTAGGGTACGTGCAGTCCACTTTGTCTGTAAGCAAAATTTGCTACACGACCTTCTCCCCCAAAATGAAATCCTGGCTATATACGCCTTGCATACCGGCGGGGAGGGTACACGTAAACGAAATCAATAGGAGAGGAGGACAGCGGGTGGTCGGGAAGGAGTGTAGAGCGCTCTGTGATTGCTCTGCTCTGCTCCGCTGGGTCGGGCTGGAAGTTACACAAGCGTCGCCCCGGCCCGCCCGTGCCACGCCGCGCAGCTGCCTTTCTCCCTCTCCTTCCCGCTCTCCGCGTCTCCCTGTCTCCTTCTCGCTCCTCCTCTCCTGGCCATTACGCAATCCCTTGGCGAAGGGGAACACATGGCGAGAGAAAGAGGGGAACACAAGAGAGGGGCGTGCCGCGGCGTGCCGTGGCGCCAGCTGCAGGGGCCTGTGCCTCATGCTCTTCCGATGCAATCACTCCCAGCTGCATGACAGTTCCGTCACGCCCACGTATGCCAAATAAGACACGCCATCGCGATAAAGCCCTAGGAATAGTCGCTCGATTTATTTTATTTTTTCTGGCTAAATGTCATGTTGTGGGACACGGCAATACGGCATATATGTGCATGTCGCGGTGTCACAGGCGACAGGCTCTCCAGCCCCCCTCCCTCTCTCATAACGTCTTGACGACGCGCACCCCGAGGCGCCTGAGCTGAGCCCCCCGCACCATGACAATGGACCGGTAGTAACTCCGAGGCGGTTGGGAAACTGCAGCAATTGGCTCGGGCTGCATATGCTGCCCCCCTCCCCCCCGTCCCCGCCATGGTCCCCGCGCCGGCTGGCTGGCCAGTAAAGCGTCAAGGACGCTTCATGGGCGCGTCTCATCACAGCGGCGGCCACTGCAGGCGCCGCACCGTGAAGCCTCTTTACCCCTCCGCGTCCCACTACTCCAGAGGCCGCATCCTCCTTCCTCTTCCTCTCTCTCTCCCTCTCTCTCTCCCTCTCTCCCTTCCTCTCCCCTTTCTCCCTCCCTCTCGCCCTTTCCTCCCGCCCCCGCTCGAGGGGACGCTACCTGTCTTTCTTCCTATTCTCTCCCGCCCCCTCCCCCCCTCTCTCTCTGGTCGGTAATAGTGCCCCATTACCATGCAATTTGCACTTAACCTTGACATACTCTCGCTAACCGGCCGGGCCGGGCAGCGCCGCGCAGCGCTGCTGTGTCGCGCGGCTGGCGCTTCCTCTCACTCGCGACGCGGCTGTAGCGGCTGTAGCGCTTCCTACCTCCTCTCCTAACCCACCCACTCCCCC